ATTTTGATTTGCTCGTACTACGCTAAGAGATAGAATTCGTTTCTGATTTCGTTCTGATTTGTTCGTTCCTCAGTCTAATTCAACAGAACTACAACACTAAGCGAAGTTAGATCGTGCGGTTTCTGCTTAACAACTCCTAGTGCTTGAACGACGGAGGGATCGTTTGCGAAGGGACTCTTCTGGCTTGAATGTATTCGTTACGTGGAACTATTGAAATATTTCTAGACAGGAGCTGAGAGAAACAGTTATGCGCTTAGTTCACGGTACTCTATTCGATGCTTTCTATGTTCACAACTATGTGTTATATTGATTATTCGATTAGGTTAGGTGTCAGGCAATTGATTCTTAAAACCATCCTCAATGACCTGTGAATCAATTTCAAGTCGGACGGCTGCAGTCCAGTGAATGCAGTACTAGTGAGACGCATAGAGTTCTTTCGACTATATGCAAAGATGAATTTGCTGAATGCATCTTTTGGTGCATTTGTCTCGATGTTTTAACATTGAAAGCCTGCCAGCACAAACGAAGCACTAATTATCAGTGCCAGACACGGTTTATCTAACGCAAGACATTAGAACAGTCCGGGTAGCCCAGACAGTGAAAGGTTAGAATTCTAGTCGCGGGTTCGAACCCTTGCATAAAAGATTCTGCTTCTAAAGTTGCGTTGCGAGCGACAAGGTAGAACTCTAGTCGTAAAACAAGTCCAAGAAGTCATTTAATCCAGGTGCCGAAATATAGTGTAACCGCTGCTTGCTGAAATCTCTTCGTAAGCATCTGAGAGCAAGCCGATAACGTAATGCCGTTAAATGCAGCTTAACGCATTTTTGCGATGATTCCTTAAAAGTACTTCATATTTCATCTTTTTTCTTTTCGACTTGCTGAAGTATTTTTGATGTGAATATTTTTTTATTAATGTTTCGATCGACTGCCAGTTTACTGTAATCAGTACACGGACGAAAATTCTAGATATACCGTTTCGTTATTTTTTCATAACTTTGATTACAAAACCTTCCTACTCGGCCTATTTCCCGTCCTTCCTTCTATTTTCGTTCTCTGTTTTTTTTCGCATTGTTCTTTCTTCATTGCAATTATATAATAGGTAATACTGCAGGATTTTACTTTAGCATTTTTTACTTTATTTTCTAAAGTCGATTGCTCCTCTAATGAATGACTATATTAAAACGTTCCTGCTGTGCTTGTTGACTCAGTAGGCAGTGATCCTTGTATGTTTCTTTTCGCAGTTGGGTTCTCTGGGATCTCATTGAATTCAGCACTGCAGCTGCATGTTGAAAAATGCGTTGTTCTATCTTATATCAGTATTTTGGGTTTAAAGGTCCATCTATTGATTCTCTTTACCCCTGGATTTCTCGAGCAGCGTAGGCACATTTCGATTAGTTTCATACCATATGCCCTAAGCTAAATACTTTTACCAAAAACAGTCCCGTGCCGTTTACATTTAATGTACCCAGTTTTTCGTATTTGCTCTAACGGTGATTCGTGCACGTAGTAAGCGTCCTGAATATCAGTTTTCAGGAAATCGTACATGTTCGGCTATGGAGTTTCGGTGTGACGAAGGTCGCTGTATTCCTAAGAGCTGGCGCTGTGACGGAGACAAGGACTGCCGAAATGGCGAAGACGAGAAAGATTGCAGCAATTCCACTTGCACCGGCAGCTACTTTCTTTGCAGCGACGGTCTGTGTATTCCGAGAGAGTAAGCCTTCTTTGCGTCTTCATTCCTAGTCTCCATGATGCTCAGTTTTCTTCCAGCCGCGTGTGCGATGGCCGATCGGATTGTGCTGATGAGATTGACGAAATGTTCTGCAATAGTACGTTTACGTGCCGCGAAAATGAGTTTCGCTGCTTAAACGGCAGCCACTGCATTTCGCGGCATCTGTTATGCGACGGCGAATTCGACTGTCTAGACGGAAGTGATGAAGGCCAGGCGGCTGGATGTTCAGGTGTTAAAGGTTTGTTTGGCTGTCGTTGTTTGTTTTAAGAGTATACTTTTAATACGCCATTATTTTGCGTTGCAGTCGTTACTCGATGCCGTGATAGTCAGTTCGCTTGCAAAAATGGCCGTCAGTGCGTGCCGTTGATTTGGAAATGCGACAACGAACCGGATTGCTCAGACATGTCAGACGAACTGAATTGCGGTAACCGCAATGATTTTCGTATCTCGTTTTTTGGTGATCTTTGTTCAGTTCTGTTTGAGCGTCGCAGAGTGAAACATCGGCTTGCGAACAGGGGGTCAAAAGTATTAGACTATCGCTCTTATTTCAGAGATCGGTAGGAAGCTCACCACTTCTTGAATTTAAGTATTTTTAGCAGTCTGTAGTTTTATTTCAGATCAAAACCTTGCTTTAAACTATTTTCTGAGTTAATTTTTAAGTTTGACCCCGCGGAATTGATAATGTCAAGAAACCACTGAAATTTAATTTTTGTGGTTCATTCAGTTTGTTATTGGTTTGATTCAGTAGCTGTTCTGGGTGCTTAGGCGTCTGCACCTAAATATGCAGTTTTAGAATTTTCTTGAGCAGTACTAGGGTTTTGTTTTGATCGTACTCCTGAAGTTGTTGTAGAACATACTTCGTTCCTGCTGGTTTGCCTTCATATTTTTCTCTCTAAGCGGACGAAGCGCAGTCAAACGACGCTTCAACAGTGTATGAGAAATTATCAGCCGTTGATCGAAATTTCCTTTTAACAATCTTTCTAGATTTGCATTGATGTTGATCATACAACCCATGCTGCTGTACAAAGTCAGATGTAATGGCGCTTAAGAGCGATGCATGAACCGTTTTTTCGCTGCTAGTCTAATAAAACTTTGGTGAATGAGGTGAGTAAGATTGTGGACTGGCCTTACAAACAGAATCGAACTTTATTTTCTCGTTTTTTATCAACATTGCTTTGTCATTGTTTTCATCATGTCTTCTTATGTAAGATATTTCTCAGTTCCTTTCTGGAAGTTTGTGCCGCTAAGCTTTAACTTAAATAGTACGTGTTAGCATGCTTTGTCTCATTGATGTTTTCGACGGGTTTTACTGTGACAGCAGATGTAGCTATATGATTCACTTATGTTTGTACGATTGAATCGAAATATTGCCCTGAATTTTACCTTTGGGAAATTTCTCCTCATACTGCAAACGGTAAATTGCGGAATGATTTCGATAGCGATTGCGCTTTGATCATTATCTAATTTCTTTTGTGCTCGTCTTTTTTGTTGTCTTAGAGATCGAATCCTTGTACTTTTCCAGATATCAGTTTTTGTTACCGTGGCTGTTTCAGAAGTGATTTGTCGTCGTGATGAGTTCCAATGTACCGAGATAAAGCAATGCGTTCGCAGCTCTTGGGTATGCGATGGACAGAAGGACTGTCAGGATGGAAGCGACGAAAACCCTACGTTGTGTGGTACTTCTTTCCCATTTGCCTTTTGCAGTCTTGTTCCTTTCTTTCTAGCTGTTCGACCATGTCCGCCGAGTCAAACTAAGTGTGCCAACGGTGTCTGCTACCCGAGCCAGCTGCGCTGCGACGGTTTCAAGCACTGCGATGACGGTTCTGATGAAATAAGCACTTTCTGTAACAGCGATAGCCAAGATGATTGAATTAGCGTTACATTCGGTCGTTAAGGTCAGTACAAATGTGAATTCATGTGTGGAAATGGCCACTGCATCGGACTAAGGTATCGTTGCGATGGCTACGATGATTGCGGCGATGGTTCTGACGAAACCGACTGCGGTGAGTACCAGATTCTCAGTATTGAGCGTCTTTAAAAGACGTCTTCAAATCGTTCTCAGAAGATAGCCGCAGATATACTTCTAGCGACCCCATCCTTCTAGTTTGCATTTTTTTGTACTGATTCTTCTAAGATTTCTGCCGCTGCTCGCTGAATACGTTTTCTCTTAATGTTTCGTACTTATGGAAGATATCGTGTTAACTCTTTTGTATATTTCAAGACTATGACGAGTTCATTAAAGAATAACTTGCAATAATGGCTCTCTGATTTGATGGATATATTTATTATTAAATTTCAGTTGCATAGGGTATAGCTAAACCAGTGAAGGGTATCACGGGTAACCCGTCAGTTATGCAACTTCGTGTTGAATCTTATTCCTGGAATATTGTGAGCAGCGAACTCAAGCATTCGATTTTCTCTGTTTTTTAAATAGTTTGCCTATGTTGAACGTGACTAGGATCATTCAGTCACGCGTAGATCTTTTTCTCTGTCTGGGTTAATGTTGCAAGAATGTATTGTTTTCTTGAGACACTTGTCAACGGTTAATTTTTCTTTGACAGCTGGAGGAGGCATTGTTCTCTCCCTTCTCTGCATCATTATTTGCAGTTTATGAGAGACTGGGTTATTCCGTATGAAAACCTGTAAGACCACACTCACAGAAATGTTTCCTTCCAGCTTGTCAACAGGATAAACTTTTCGCTTAATGTTATCTGCAGTGAAAGGTGTTTCTTCTGCGTTGTTATATTTTCTCACTTGCGTAGGCATACTGTTCATTCTACATGTCAATTAATACTCCATCTGTTCTAGTTTTTTATCTTTCTGACTTTTTTATTTCAAGATACGTTTTAATCCTAATATACCGCCATCAAGCATTTGTGCTTTTTTACTCTAGTTGAATTCTAGCTCCAAACGCTTGTCTTGAATTCGGAGTATGTTCGCAGAAATGCGAATTCAGCAAGATGAACCGACAGCCAAAATGTTACTGTGATAGCGGCTACGTTCCCGAGTTGCTGAATCCAAAACTGTGCCGTGCCTCAGGTAAATTTTCGTCCTTCCCTCTATTAACTCGTTTACGAATCACTGTTTTGTCCTTATCTTGATGCTCCCGACCTTTTTCAAATTCTATGCAGCGCTGTTATTTTGATTTTCAGGCGATATGCCGATCCTTTTGTTATCCTGCAGCAGCGAGATAAGATCCCTTGATCCATACGCCGAACTTCACTACAATACGTTTGAAGTTCCGTTTTCACGAATCACAACACTCAGTTTCTTCGTGTCGCTGTCCACTTCATCGTCTGCCGGCTCGCCCTTCTATCTCTACTGGACCGATTCGCACCAGGGAAAGATTTTTCGCCGGCGTTTTGATGATATGATGAATATGCAAAGTAACAGCTTCAAACCAAAGTCTCGCCGCGAAATCGGAACATTAGAACACGACGACGTCCTGCTTGATGGACTGAGTCAGCCTACTGGCATTGCCATTGACTGGATCAACGAGAACATGTATTGGACCGATCTCAAGGACTGTTTCATTGGAATATCCGACCTCGTCGGCAAGATATCTTTGCGTTTGATTTTCAGAAACATCGAAGAGCCGACGAGCATCGCCGTCGCCCCCGAAAAAGGGTAGATTATAGCCGAAATCACGTACGACTAGCATTCACTGACACGTTATTTTAGGCAAATATTTTGGAGTGACACTGGTTGGGAGGCTCGCATAGAAACAGCCTCACTTCGAGGCTTGGAACGGCGCACTCTCGTTGCTAAGAATGTTCTTTACCCAACGGGACTGGCGATCGATCATGCGAACGAGCGCCTGTTTTGGGCTGACCCAAAAACAGCATCCATCGAAACGATTCGTTTTGACGGGTCCAATAGACGGGTTGTGAAAACGTTTGTGATAGGTACTTTTCTAGTCAGCGCCTTCTTCTTTAAGCGCTTTGTTAATCGTGTTCAAAACTGCATAGCTTTCCTCAAATCACAGATTACGTAAGTGAATTACGTTTCCCAACCCCGTGAGCCCCTTTGATTCAAACTGGTCCAGAAAAAAATTTCGTCTGTACTTTGCAATTTGCTTGGTTCGGTCACTGGTAAAGATTCAACGCACCACATGATACTGGATAATACAGCTTACTTACCACTGACTCTCTGTGGCAGGCTGCCTAGCTTATTGACAGAGGATCTCCAGATGGAATATCAGGCCACGTGTACTCTCTTAGCAGATTTTTTAAATGTTTGAAAAGAATCGTAAAGGAATTTTTTCGGTTATGCAGGAAAACAAAAAATAAATATTCAAGGAAGGAAAATTGACACAAAGACTCAAGAAACTGGGACAACACAAGACTGTACCGTACAGCATGACAGTGCGAACTATAACTTTTGCTGACTAGAAGAACTCGGAATAAGGAAAATGGCGGAAAGCAGTAGAATAGAAAGCAGCGGAATTATCCTACTGAGCATTAAATGAGTTTAGTAGTCGAATTTTTTACTGTGTTTCTCTCTTAAAACATGAACTGTTGCCGATCCGAAGCCCGGTTGAGAAAAGAAGAGGGTTGGAGTCCGTGGCAGATTCTCCTTCAAATTTAGCTTCCTGCCACTCATGGTATTGACGCAATCGAAAATTGTATCAGTTCGGTCGTCGCCCAGGTTACCTAGGGCCGCACAGGCTG